ATCATTAAGTGTAGTTTCATTACCTTAAAAATTCTCTGTGCTTAGCCCATTCATCTTTTTCTCCCTTCCACTTAATCCCTGACAGACACTGTGATGGTTTTGATATTGTTTGGTTGGTTTTCCATTTGTTTTCTTTTTCTCTATAATTTTTTATCTTCTGTAATGTCATGCAGGTGGAATCATACAGTATGTAGTCTTTCAAACTGGCTTCTTTTACCTAGTAACATTCATTTAAGCTTTCCCCTAAGTCTTTCTATGGCACCACAGCTCAGTTTTTTTCAACACTTAATAATAGTCTATTGTCTGTATGTGCTACAGTTTATCCATCCACCTACTGGACATACTGGTTGTGTCCAAGTTTGAGTAAATATGAATAATGTTATAAATTCCCATATGCTAGATTCTGTGTGCTTGTAGATTTTTATCTGCTCAGTAAATACCAAGAAACATAATTTCTGATTTTTATATAAGAATTTATAAGAGTCTGTTTAAATTTCAAAGCAGTTGTACTATTTTACATTTCCTACTAATTTTAATCTGTCTCTGTTTCTTAGAGTTCTTAAATGTCTTGGGGAATCAAGCAAAGTTGACCTTTAGTGTATACCTCACAGGAAGTGGGGTAAGCCAATCTTCTACTCTTTCCCTTTAACAGAGCTGAGGGAACCAAGGTGTCTAAAGTTGAAGCCCTGAGCTGCTGATTGGGGGTTGCATTACCTTTCAGATAAGTCAATAAATGGCTCTTTTTCCTCAGAAAATCTTCAGGTACCAGTTCACTTCTGTGATAACTAATAAGACAAAATATCTCCTCACTTATTTGAAGGATGAGTAAAAGTAAAAGTGTCCTTGATTTATTCAAAATTTATAAATAAGCCATGAACTTAGAAAAAATTATGTCAAATAAATTTTAGGCTGCTAGGAATGAATCTAGTCCCTATACATGCTGAGTAAGCACTCCCAATGCTACCTTAATACTTTTTTATAAATTCATTGAAAATAGTTTGTTACCTCCTCAAATAATAGCTATGTCACTTAGTCTGTATGTTTCATAATTAATCAGAATTTCCAGTGTTGAAAGGTAGGTCAGGCTCAGACGGTGAGCTGTGCATCACATGGTGGTGAATGCTTACCCACTGGAGGATAGTAGGGCAGAAAAAAAAGTTGAAAAAGGGATGCCTGCACCACAAACAAAAGTTGGAACAACAAAAATATAACATATCAGTGAGACTATATCAGCCCAAATAAACTAAGACGACTTTCAATAGCCTAATAGGGACAATGTGTTGATTGTGCTCAGGGGAAACTGGATATTTACACCCATTCCAAGCAAATAAATTTGCAGAACACCTCCATGTCTCCACTAAATTCTTACTGCTTTGCTTTTCTTCTGGCCCCAGTTGAGTCTTGGTAGCTCTCCCCCATGGGAGGTGGCTTCATCGTTAATCAGTTCTCCACATAGTCAGCCCCATTATCTTCTAAAGCTACATTGGTTAACGTTATTTCTTTACTTAGTAATATTTGACATCTCTTTTTTTTTGCCTTCAGAATGAAACTTAATTATTTAGCCAGGAATACAATACCAATTTCAGGCTGCTACTGACATGAAGTTCGTTTGTTTGCTTATTTGTTTGTTTATTTTGTTTTGTTTTAGCATGGTGGGGTGCGGTAGGCAGGGAGGATCTTGCTATATGTCTTAGGCTGGACTCAAATTGGTGATCCTTCTGCTTCACAGTCCCAAGGACTAGGATGACGGGCATGTACCGTCATGCTCACCTCTTCACTAACATACTTTCTGATGAAGCTCTCTGTTCTCTCGCCTTGGAGAAACAACTTGAAGGTCCTTAGACAGTCACCTGCACCTTCTGTTCTCCACACGTGAAGTGTTTCTCACACCTCCTTCACAGGTTATAAGGCTGTAACTAATGATTAACTCCTGGTCCATAGTCATTTCTTCAGCTTGGTCTTCAAATTTATAATATGTTCATATTTTCCACAGGTTCTCAGCTTGGCCATTTATTACAGTCACTCAGGAGGCTTTTTGTAAAAACCTCAGTGTCCAGATTTTGCCCACGGCAATTGCAATTTTACTGTCTGCAATGACTGCGAGCACAGCAATGTTTTAAATGTTCTCCCACAATGTGGGTGCTGGGAACCGAACTTAGGTCCTCTGGAAGAGCATCAAGCACTCTTCACAGGTAAACCACATTTCCAGACCCAAGCCTTGTTTTATTTTTGAAACAAGGTCTTAGTCAACTCCCCACACTATCTTTAAACATTTTGTAACCCAACTGCCCTTGAACTAGAGATCCTCAGTCTCCCAAATATTGGGGATTTAATGTAACTTTTCTTAATAAACATAATTATACATATTCCCCAAATAAGCTGTAAATGAATCAGAGTCATGGCAAACATTTTACCTACTTAGCCATCTCCCCAGCTCTAAACTGATGATTCTTATTCAAAACTGTTTTTCCTAGTAGGAAAGGAATTTCTTATTTTCTTTCAGAGAATGGGAGGGTATATGTCCTTCTCTCACTCCAGTGACTATTTTGAGCCAAATAGGCTGGCAACATTATCACATTGCACCTGGTAAGGGCCCTGAAGTAAGTGAAAGCTTTTAATTGGAGACTTGCTTACATCTTCAGAGAGCTAGTTCACGATCTGTATGGCAGGAAGCACGGTGGCAGCCAGGCAGGCATGGTGCTGGAGCAGTAGTTGAGAGGTCCCATCTGAAGAGCAAGCTGGAGGGAGAGAGAGCAAGATTGTGCCTGGTGTGAGCTTCAGAAACCTCAACACTTAACCCCCAGTGGCACACCTTCTCCAAACCCACACCTTCCTAAACAGTCCACCAACTAGATGAGGAGCATTCAAGCCTATGGGCGCCGTTCTCATTCAAACCACCGGGAACCATAAGGAAAAACTCGAAGGGTTGTACATGAAGCAGTTACTCTATGACTTTCCGGAGGCTTCAAAGTTGGCTTCTCCTTCACCCACTTTCCCTTTGCCTTCCCTACAGGCGTGTCCTCACTTGTCTGTTCCCCTGCATTTGTTGAAAACTAAGGACTTACAGGGGTATAACCCCTGCTGCCCCCTTTACTCTTGTGAGGTGCCTCCTTTTCTGTGGCTGGGGGAGCGTATCTTCCCTCCCTTCCACATCCCCTTCTCTGCTCTAAAATCCCATTTCTCATCATTTTGAAAGCTAAAATGTGTTGTTCTCTTACCCACCCTTGGCCCTCAGCAGCCAAAGGAAAGAGGAGGAGTGCTGACCTAGAGAAATTCCAGCTTCTTGCTGGAGAAGTATGGCCTCCCTGTTAAGCCTCAACAAGCTTCAGTGTGTGGTTGGGGTTGGGGGGAAATGAATCTGGAAATGAGACCGACAGGAGAGAGTGGTACAACTTCCTCTTGAGTTGCCTCATGTTGCTATTATCTCTGAAGGAGCTGGGGGGGAGTAGAGGGTTACTCTCCAGTTCTCTTGACCTCATTATTCTCTCTTACTTTTGGTGTATGGTGCAGGTAGAAAAATAAGCTGCTACATGGATTGGTGTTTTTGTTTTTCTTTCTTTTTTTAATGTTTATTTGTTTTGAGACCAGGGCTCACTATGTAACCCTAGCTGGCCTAGAATTCCCTACATAGACCAGGCAGACCTTGAACTCATACAGATCTGCCTGCCCCTCCCTCCCAAGTGCTGGGATTAAAGGCATGTACAGCCATGCCCATTTGTTTGACTTCTTAAATAAGACAATATTTTCAATTAAGGTGAGGGAAAAAAGTATTGACGCAGCAGTTCACTTTCAGCAATCTGGGTTTTCCCAAATAGTGACATGAGAGCTAGTCATTATGAAATGGACACCGAGTTCCTCTTCAGGAAACGGAAATGTAGGTCAGGGCTCTGCTGACAATTTCCATTTGTCTCATAGGTAAAAATCTGAAGTGATCACTGACAGGCAGGCAGTGGGAAAGAAGACAGCGCAGCCATGAGGGCAGCTGCTTGGCCCTGAAGAAGGAAGGTGCTGCAAATGAGCAGAGAGGTAAAGAGACCTTAATCCCTGAAATACTGAAAGCCAGCTGCACTCTGCAAATGCACAGGCCAAAACTGCTTTCTCTCATGTGCTCTGTGATGCTTTTGTGCAATGCTACTGATGAAAGGTGAGTCTATTATACTGTCTGCCATCACACCAATTCTGATAACTAGGTGGTGAGCAGTGAAATTCTGATGAGGTGGTTCTACAGCTTGTACTGCCTTTTATAAAGATATGTTGTCTCAAATTAAGAAAGGGCTCTCCAAGTTCATAAACCACAAAAATATAATCATGTGTTTTATGCTGCTTGATGAGCCATGAGTTGTGTTTTGAAGTTCTTTAATAGGAAAACTCAGGCTTAACTAAATTGACAAAAACAAAATAATTGCTATTGAGTAACCAGCTTATTCCACAGCTAGACTGACAAGTGAAGAGCAAGGCCCAGGTGTAAACTGTGGACAGTGTCTTTCATCATACGTCTCTTCTGAGCCAGAGATGAAGGGCCCTCTGTAGCTTTGACTTGTCATAGTCTATTTAGTCTTTGCCTTGTTCCACTATTCCCACTGTGTGTCCTCTTTCTGTGAGAATTCTAAAACTTTCAGTGTTTCCCAACTTTTGTCCACCAAAGATTGGTCTTCCAGATCATGATGGGTGTGAACCGGTCACACATTAACTGTTCATCATCAGAAGTTACAGCAGATAGGGGAGCTGTCTGATGAGGGAAAATAGAGTTGGAGTAACTACATTTTAACAAAGATCTGATGACCTCCTAAGTGATGCTTGAAGGCAGACATTCCACTCTGATGCTCTGCTTATCTGCCTCTTCATGAAGCTCCTCACACAACACTGGCATCTCTCTGCCCTGTTTCAGTCATTCTGAATGAAAGAATCCTATTCAAGCCAATAATTATGAGAAATGTAATGCTAAGTGTCTCAGTAAAATGTTACAATATAAAGATTTTTCATATTTTTTCCAGAGAGAAATGAAAGGTTTCTTCCTCACTTGGGACATGAATCACCTCACACTTCAGTTGCATGTAGGAATAGCCCTCTATGTGCTCTTCAGATGGTGTCATGGAGGTATAGTATTTTGTGTGTCTCTATTTTCATTTAACAAATAGAACATCGAATGATTATCATTTTCAAGCCATTGTGTCATAATATCTAAAAAATACAAAAATTATTGCACTGAGGAAAATTAATGTGGAATGGAACAAACTAAAAGTAATCCAACTTCCCTCCAAATGCAAGTTGTTTTCTGTTTTGCTTTGTTTTGTTTTTTCCCCAGATACCCCAGTTGACACTCCTCTGTCATTTATGAATGTTTCCACAAAGGAGGCCATCTTGAGATATTCTATTTGGGGATTATCATAACTGTCATGTAATTTATCCAAAGCTTGCATTTACTTAAATTCTGTGAACTACTTATTGATGATTACTATACAGTAAGCTCTCTGCTAGTTTTTAGTCCTTGTGAGACACCATTATTTTGCTGCTTTGCTTCTGTCTTATAATTCACATCAACATTAAAAAAAAAGTTCATTTGAGACTGCAGAATTTTAAGGAAGGCTGTGGTTGACATCTGGGAGTTTCTGTTGGGAACAGCTGTTTCCTGGGCAAGGGTACAGTTACAGAAAGACAATCAGTACCAACACAGGGTTCTGAACAGTGAGTGACATTTTTCAGACTAGGTGATTCATAATAGTGACAAACTTCTCCTTTTTTGTTTCTTTGGTTTGTTTGGTTTTTTGTTTGTTTTGCAGGGTGTTATTTGTTTGTTGTTAAATGTGAAATGTTTCACAAATGCGTAAGTCATCCTTGCTTGGGACCATGCTGACTTTCATTTTGCTCATCTACAGTTGTGGACACAGTTATGTTGGAGCTATAGGTGTAGATGTAAAAACTCACAGCAAGATGACTGGACACTTCAGAATCAGACCAACAGATTCCTTACAAGCTTTAGGAGAAAAGAAGCCAGTTGCTTGAAATGAGCAGACACTAAGTAGATTTCTGTTTATACATCCAAATGACGAGTGCACAGCAAGTGAAGTAAGAAGTGGTGCTAGACAGGGCCAGCACTGTCGTTCATTCTTCTATGACTATTTTAGTAGAATCCAAGTGACAACTGTCAAGGTTTTCACTAGAATGGTGTTACTCCATTTCAGTAGCTCTACTAGCCAAGTGCAGAGGCACACAGCTTAATCCTGATACTCAGGAGGCCGAGACAAGAGAGTTGCTGCAAGTTTGAGGCTAGAGTGGGCTACAGAGTGGAAGGACAACCTGGAACACATGGCGAAACTACTCCACCAAAAAAAAAAAAAATATATCATTAAATAAACAAATGGCTTTATAAAGATATAAAAGTATAATTACACATTTCTACAAAAAAAAGTTAAACATTTCTAACCAATCTAATAACCTTGTTTAAGAAATTCAATTAGTTGGGCAGGGTAGCTCATGTCTATATTATTCATCATCATGTAAGAGGCGGACAGGAAGATGGAAATGAGTTCAAAGTCAGCATAAGCTGCTTGCAAAGTGAGAGCCTATCTCAAGAAGAAGAAAGGAACTGTCAAGTCAACATGACCTAGTCTTTTATAGTCTGTGTTGTCTCCTCCTGATCAACAACTTGCCCCCATTATGCTCTGAAAAGCCATTTCTAAAACCCAGGACTTGTGACCAAATCTCTTGACACTTTTCTATGTATTCTAAAAATGGTTTCACAATGAGCATAGAGATATTTTTTCTAAAGTTGAATTATCAAACTTATTTAAAATACCAGATGTTTCCTTTATATATATAGTAGTATATATATATATATATATA